ACACTTAATTATTTACTAGAGGCCCGGTGCACGAAATTTGTGCATGGGGGGGGGGGTCCCCTCAGCCCAGCCTGCACCCTCTGGAATCTGGGATCCCTCTCATAATCTGGGACCACTGGCTCCTAAGTGCTCACCTGCCTGCCTGCCTGATTGTCCCTAACTGCCCCCACTGCCAGCCTGATCACCCCTAACTGCCTCTGCCTGCTGGCCTGGTCGCCCACAACTGCCCCCCTGTCGGCCTGGTCGCCCCATGCAGCCTGCTGTTCAGTCATTTGGTCGTCCCTCACTAACCCCCCAGGCAGCCTGGTTGCCCCACGCAGCCTGCTGTTTGGTCGTTACTGTGATGGAGTCCTGGAAAATTTGCATATTCCTCTATTATTAATATAGATATGTTTACTAGAGGCCCACTGCACGAAATTCATGCACAGGTAGGGTCCCTAGGCATGGCCAGCAATCAGGGCTGATCAGGGCCTTCCAGCTGCCGGACAGAGCATTCCTTCTGGCTGCCGGCCGGGGCCTTCCTTCGTTCCGTGCCACCCCTGGTGGTCAGCACACGTCATAACGAGTGATCAGACTCTGAGTCTCCCAGTCGAACTCTCAAGGGGATGCTTTACATATTAGCCTTTTATATATATAGATTGTTTCTCTCCACACCTCCTGAAGTGTGAGCCCTTAAAGATGGGATCATGTTTCTCTTTTTACCCAATACATTAGTGCTCAGAACAGTGCCTGATATAGAATAGAGCCTGAGGCTCTGAAATGTGTGGTGATTGACTCATTTGGAGTCTTATCTCATAGAACTTCCTTACTGTCCCCTATGTTTCAGGTTACTATACTTGCCTCTTTTGAAAATGCCATGCTGCTCCCAACTGAGGACTCTTGCATCTTCATTTGTGCATTCCTAAGTCATACTCACCCTTCAGATAGGAGTCACTTAGAGTGGGCTTCCCTGACTTCCATTCTAGGTTAGGATACTCTGTAATATGTCCTGTCCATATCATCCTATCCTTTTTTATAGTAGTTATTACAGTTAAAATTATTTATAAGCTCTTTTTAGGTAGGAAACAAGATTTTCCCATCAAATAACACCAGAAAAAATTGGTGACAGTACTTCCTTATTATCATCGCCTTCCACCTCAATAGACAATATAATTACCCTCATATAGCATTCAGTCCTGCTTTAGGTTCTGTGCACTGACCCAGATTTTTCTTTATGTGAAACAAATTACTAAAACCTTGAAAAATCTTTCTAACATCAGTGCCAATGTGTCACTTAAGACTAATTATTGGGTATTTCCAAGGTAAGATTTCTTTTATTGGGATTTGTCAGATCTTGCACTGAGATGAAAGCTAACCAATTTTCTTCTCTTGAATTTGCTTTTCTAGTGAAGCATTAACGGAGAAACTTCAGTTCTATCAAAATAGCTAATGTTTATATAATACTTTAGAGTTTATGAGTTTATCTCATTCAGTGCTCACAACAATTCTAGGAAGAGGTGGGATCCCCATCTGTAGATGTAGAAACTGAGAAATGAAGAGGCTGAATGAGTTGTTCAGGGTTTAATAACTAATAAGAGGCAGAGCTAGGACTCAAGCCTTGGTCTTCCAATTCCAAATCTTGTGTCTTCCCCACTATCCCATATTGCCTATAACTTTTCTTCTTTTGTTTTAAAGCCATCATGTTTTGTGATCACCTAAAAATGGGCTGAGAGTCTGTCCCTTCATCTACAAGATTCCATCAACTTAATAGTTACAGGGACATAGAGTTGCCATCCATGACTGCAGTCTTCATGTTGGAAAATAACCTTGTGAAATCTTTGAACCACTACTACTATGTGGTTGTTTTTTTTAAAAAAATATTTTTATTGATTTCAGAGAGGAAGGGCGAGGGAGAGAGAGAAACGTCAGTGATGAGAGAGTCATTGATCGGCTGCCTCCTGCACGCCCCCTACTGGGGATCGAGTCCACAACCCGGGCATGGGCCCTTGACCAGAATCAAACCTGGGACCCTTCATTCCTCAGGCCAACGCTCTATCCACTGAGCAAAACCAGCTATGGCACTATGTGGTTGTTTTGGATTATTTTGTGTAATCTTTATTTCAGATGAGATAATTCATGTATGGTGTTTGTTTCTGAAGTGGGCAGCCAGCAATTAATAGGAATAGGCCCCAGCTAGAAGAGGGCTGTTTTCACTTCTTTCAGGAGCGCAGTACATGAAGTTTCTTTTCTGGATTGTCATTTCCAGCAAATGTCCTTCATTTCCTTTGCTCTCATGCCCCAGCCCTCAGTATGCGGGGATAGATAATTGTATGTTAGAACCCTCTGAATAATTGAAATCTAATTTTTTGTGACAGCAACTTAAGTCTCACTAGTTGGACTCTCTGCCTACTTAGAAAAGCCGTCTATAACCCAAAACACCATCAATCTAGCCTGGGTACCTGCTATGTCTTGGGCATGGAGAATCAGCAAGATTTTTCTCAGGACATGAACAGTATTTCCCCTTTGGTAACTTCGCAGTTGGCACCAACTATTTCTCTTCACTTTTGACTGCAATTCTAGTCTAAATAGTCTACTAGGCTCTGGCTCCAACCTCTGGTCATTCTAATCCCAAGCAGCTGAGATCAGACACTGGGATATCTCTTTACTGGCAGCCCTAGGCTTGAACTTTGGAAATTGTGGGAAATTCCATTTTTTGGGCACATAGGTCTTCTGGCTCCACCATATATGAGTTTTCCCTGCTGAGTAGAAATGGTATCAGTAATATAGAGTAAAGAATAATGAAAATAGTCCTTTATGTGAGGATAACATTTTAGTACTTACAAAATGATTTTATATTTATTATTTTTTTTCCCTTTATAATAATCCCAGGAAACAGAGTGGAAAAGTGGTTAAGATCAAGTCTGGATTTATACTGTCTCAGTTTGAATTTTATTTCCAATATTCAAAGCTATGGAGGTTACTTCATCTCTCAGTGTCTGTTTCCTCATCTGTCAAATTTAGACTACTTATCTCATAGGCTGATTATGAGGATTGAGATAAGGCATGAAAAAAAATTGGTAATTATTGTATAAACTAGAGGCCCAGTGCACGAAATTCGTGCACGGGGGTATGTGTCCCTCAGCCCAGCCTGCACTCTCTCCAGTCTGGGACCCCTCTCACAATCCAGGACTGCTGGCTCCCAACCACTCGCTTGCCTGCCTGCCTGATTGTACCTAACCACTCCCCTGCCAGCTGATCGACACCTAACTGCTCCCCTGCTGGCCTGATTGCCCCTAACTGCCCTCCCCTATTGGCCTGGTCACCCCTAATTTCCCTCCCTTGCCAGCTGGGTCGCCCCCAGCTGTCCTCCCCTGCAGGCCTGGTTGCCCCTAACTGCCCTCCCTTTCAGGCCTGGTTCCTCCCAACTGCCCTCCCCTGCCGACCATCTTGTGTCCACATGGGGGCGGCCATCTTGTTGTGTTTGGAGCTACGGTCAATTTGCATATTACTTTTATTAGATAGGATAAGAAAACCAAAGCCCAGAGAAGCTAAGTACTGACATTGGAGCTGATATTTAAACCTAAATTGTTCTTACTTTGTGCCTGTTCTCTCTACCTTATCTCTGCTTCCTCTGAAATCAATACCTTGCATTGTATAAAGGTAGCTTTAAATTTCAACAATGGACCTCTTACTCTCATTATTTATTATTTCAACTTCTATATGAAGAGACAAAAAGTGCAGGGTTTATTATCTCTATAAAGAAAAAAGAGGCACAGAAAAATGGTAGTGACTTTCTAGAACATCACAGTGTGCTTGATTCCTAGCTCTGAGCACATACCAATTGCCTTTTGGAGGAGAAGAGACATGCCATCCTTTTTCCATCTCTTCTCTTTCCTGAGTTTCCCATAGAGGATTTTTTAAAAATATATATATTTTATTGATTTTTTACAGAGAGAAAGGGAGAGAGTTAGAAACATTGATGAGAGAGAAACATCAATTCAGCTGCCTCCTGCACACTCCCTACTGAGGATGTGACTGCAACCAAGGTATATGCCCTTGACCGGAATCGAACCTGGGACCCTTCAGTCCACAGGCTGACACTCTATCCACTGAGTCAAACCAGTTAGGGCACCGTAGAGGATCTTAAGTGGGCAGAGATTCTGGACTAGGAAAACTAAAACAAGTGAGTGCTAGGAGGATAGTAGACACTTGTGGCACAGTGCAGTCTCACAAGTGAAGAGGAAGAGTGATTGAGAGGGAGGGAAGGTGAGGCATTCCTCAGCACCATTGGGAAACGTTGGTGTACATCCTTATTTGCTGCACTGGCTGTGGCAGGGAGGTGTGCTCCTCTCTTAACTGCATGTAAAATTAATAGCAGAGGTCTTCCTAATTTTGCCACTTACTGATATATCATTTAGATTGTTTCATTATTTCACTTGAGCCCTGTTCACACTGGCCTAGAGAAAGTGAGGGCAAGGGCAGAAAATAGATTCAAGAAATATTTGGAGATAGATACTTAATTCTAACAAAAACCTGGTGAGTCATCAGATGTTAGTTTTAGTCTTATGGAAGAGACGTGCACAAAGTTGTAAGGTAAATGTGAAAACTTGTTCAGGACTTTTGACTTCAAGTATAGAGATCATCCCAAAACACCGTGTATCCTTCCCATGCAGCTAGGATAATGGTCTAGGTTAGTGGTCACCAACCTTTTGGACCTCGCAGACCACCGGTTGGTGACTGCTGCTCCAAAGGTTTCCTTAAACCAGCAGTCGCCAACCTTTTGGACTTCACGGACCACCAATGGTCCGAAGACCACTGGTTGGGATTGCTGGTCTAGGTCATGAATATCAGAACTGAGTCTGGGACATAGGCAGTGGTGCTTATCAGAACTGAGTCTGGGACATAGGCAGTGGTGCTAAGTATTGAACATTTTACTCATAAAGAATGCTACAGATTGAGCAGGCTCTCTTTTTAATAATTCTCTAACATTTCTATTTTATTTAGGCTATTGTTTGGAAGCAATGAGTTTAAAACCCTTCACCTACCCGTTTCCAGAGACAAGATTTCTTCATTCAGGATCCAGTGTATATAAATTCAAAATCAGATATGGTGACAGCATCGATCAGCTGCCTCCTGGACACCCCCCACTGTGGATGTGCCTGTAACCAAGGTACATGCCCTTGACCGGAATCGAACCTGGGACCCTTCAGTCCTCAGGCTGACGCTCTATCCACTGAGCCAAACCAGTCAGGGCCGGTTAGTGCATTTTCTCACAGATAATCCCTTCTTTGCCTTCACCCAGTCCAGGAGACTGGCTGAAGAAGCACGTTGTAGGTCTTTCCCAGGTATTTTATATTCCATATGTTACTACTCATGTAAATTCCTAAATTAGTGATGGCATACCTTTGGGGCAATGGTTCTCAAATTTTTATCTCAGGACCCATTTGCACTCTTAAAATTATTGAGTATCTCAAAGTTTTTGATTATATGGGTTATAACTGTCAAAACTTATATGAAAATTAAAACAAAATTAAAATAACATACGTACTACTTTGAAAATATATATCATTAACTTTTAAAAATTGATTTAGAGAGAGAGGAATTGAAGGAGAGAGAAAGAAAGAGGAACATTGATTTGTTGTTCTACATATTTATGCATTCATTGGTTGCTTTCTCTGTGTGCCCTTACCGGGGATTGAACCTGCAACCTTGGCATATGGGGACAATGCTCTAACCAAGTGGGGCCTTATATCCTTAAATGTTAACAAATAACATTTTATTTAAAATAACTATCTTTAAAAAAATTTTTTTTTATTGATTTCAGAGAGAAAGTGAGAGGGAGAGAGAGATAGAAACATCCTTGATGAGAGGGAATCATTGATTGGCTGCCTCCTGCACGCCCCCTACTGGAGATTGAGTCCGCAATCCCAGCATGTGCCCAGATCAGGAATTGAACAGTGATGCTCAAGCACTGAGCCATATCAGCCAGGCTAAAATAACTCTATCTTTTAAAAAATTAATGAGAGCCCTAGCCAGTTTGGCTCAGTGGATAGAGTGTCGGCCTGCGGACCGAAGGGTCCTAGGTTCGATTCCAGTCGAGGGCACATTCCTGGATTGCAGGCTCGGTCCAACGTACAGGAGGCAGCCAATTAATGATTCCCTTTCATCATTGATGTTTCTGTCTCTCCCTCTCCCTTCCTCTCTGAAACCAATAAAAATATATTTAAAAAATTAATGAGAAGGTTGACATTGTTTACATTCCTGGGATTTGTTCCAGAATACAAGGATGGTTCAACATACAAAAACCCATCACTATAATATGCCACATTAGGCTGCTCTCCCTCCCGAGAGTATGCCCATGCCTTTCTTCCCTCTCAGGCTTGCATTTTCTAAACTCTGTAAGAGTCCCCACAAGACTTGCAACCAGGGAAGCAATAGGCAGTGGCAGCTCATCCCGGGCTAACCCCCCCCCTTTTTTTTAATACTCACTCGATATTTTTCCATTGATTTTTAGAGAGAGTGGAAGAGAGAGGCAAAGACAGAGAGAAACATCAATATGAGAGAAACATTGATTGGTTGCCTCTTGCACGTGCCCTGACCAGTACCTGGGCTGGGGAGGAGCCTGCAACCCAGGTATCTGCCCTTGACCGAAATCGAACCCAGGACCCTTTGGTCCATGAGCCAAACGGGCTAGAGCCCAGGCTAACCCCTTGAACCTGTCTCCAAGGCCCCCTTTTCTCTGACTTTCCAGTGAGCCAAAGCAGCCCTGCCTAGGCTCATTTTTTGTCTATAATATTTCTAGAGAGCCAAAGGAGCCCTGCCTAGCTGTCTCCTGTTGTTTCTTCTATCCTCTAACTTTCCAATGAGCCAAAGCAGCCCTGCCTAGCTCTTTCCCGTTGCTTCTTCTATCCTAATTCCTTCCTTGTTTCACTGTCCCCAGCTTTAATAAACATATTCTCAAATATATATATATGTAAACACACACACCCCACATTAATATAATGAAGGAGGGAAAACCATATGATCATCTCAATTGATGCAGAAAAAGCATTTGACCAAATTCAGCACCTTTTCGTGATAAAAACAATAAACTAGGGATAGAGGTGAACTTCTTCAACATGATAAAGGCCATATGTGAAAAACTCACATCTAACATCATAGTCAAATACTCTTCATACTTAAAGCTTTTCCCTTAAGATCAGAAATAAGTCAAGGATGCCCACTTTCACCACTTTTATTCAATATAGTACTAAAGTTCTAGTTAGAGCAATTAGTCAAAAATATAAAATGCATGCAAATTGGAAAGGAAGGAGTGAAACTATCTCCATTTGCAGACAATATGATCTTATATGTAGAAAACCCTGAAGAATCCACATAAAAAACTTACAGCTAATCAATGAATTCAGCAAAGTTGCAGGATACAAAACCATGCAAAAATCAGTTTTATTTGTATACACTAGCAACAGACAATCTGAAAAGAAAATTAAGAAAATTATCCCATTTACAATAGCATTCAAAAAGAAAAATATAATTAGCAATAAATTTAACCAAGGGGATGTAAGACTTGAACACTAAAAGCTACAAAAGAACAACACCTGAAATAAATTGGAAACCCAAATAAATAAAATCTTGTGTTCATGGATTAGACTTAATATATAGTTAAGATGACAACAGTACTCAAAGCAATCTACAGATTCAGTGAAATCCTTATCAAAATCTCAATGGCTTTTTTTTTTTTAAGAATTGGAAAGCCCATTCTAAAATTCATATGGAATTTCAAGGGACCTCAAATAGCCAAAACAATCTTGAAAAATAGTAAAGTTGGAGGACTCGCACTTCCCAATTTATTTATTTATTTAAAAATATTTTTTTATTGATTTCAGAGAGGAAGGGAGAGGGAGAGAGAGATAGAAACATCAATGATGAGGGAGAATCATTGTTCGGCTGCCTCCTGCACGCCCCCTGCTGGGGATTGAGCGTGCAACCCAGGCATGTGCCCTTGCCTGGAATTGAACCCAGGACCCTTCAGTTCACAGGCTGACTCTATCCACTGAGCCAAACCAGCTAGGGCACACTTCCCAATTTAAAAACTTACTATAGAGCTACAAGTAATAATAAAAAAAAAATGTGGCACTGACATAGGGACAGATATCCAGACAACAGAATAGAATTGAGAGCCAAGAAGTAAACCCTTACATCAATGGTGAAGTTATTTTCTAATAGAAAGCCAGGACCATTCGAAGGGGGAAGAATAGTCTCTTTAACAAATTGTCTGAGAAGGCTTGATGTCCACATGCAGAAGAATGAACTTAGACCCTTATTTTATCCAAAATACAAAAGTTAACTAAAAATGGATCAAAGACCTAAATTTAAGAGGTAAAACTATAAAACACTTAGACGAAAAAATAAGAGCAAATCAATATGATTTTAGATTTGACAATGGTTTATTAAATACAACACCTAGGCAACAAAGTAAATTAGATAAATGAGACTTAACTAAATTTTAAAAAATTTTGCACCGAAGAACATCAACAGAGTGAAAAGGCAACCCACAGATGGGAGAAAATATTTGCAAATTATATATCCAGGCCCTGGTTAGTGTGGCTCAGTTGGAGCATCTCCCCATGCACTGGAAGGTCACGGGTTCAATTCCTGGTCAGGGCACATAGCTAGGTTGCTGGTTTGATCTGTTGGGACACATACAGGAGGCAACTAATCGATGAATCTTTTTCACATCCGTGTTTCTCTCTTTCTCACTTCCTCCCTCTCTAAAATCTAAAGAATAAATAAAATCATGTGTCCAGAATATATAAAGAACTACTACCCACAACAAATAGATGAACAATCCAATTAAAAAGAGAGCAAAGAACTTTGAATAGATATTTCTCCAAAGAAGATATACAAGTGACCCATAAGCACATGAAAAGATTTCTGTTATTACTCTCGAGGGAAATGCAAATTAAAACCAGACTTAAATACCACTTCACACTTACTAGAATGGCTATAATTTTTTAAAAGTATGTTTTTATTGCCCTGGCTGGTTTGGCTCAGTGGATAGAGCCTTGGCCTGCGGACTGAAGGGTTCTGGGTCTATTCCAGTTCAAGGGAACATTCCTGGGTTGTGGGCTCAATCCCCAGTCGGGGGCGTGCAGGAGGCAGCCAATCCAATGATTCTCATCATTGATGTTTCTATCTCTCCCCTCTTCCTCTCCGAGATCAATAAAAAAAAAATATTTTTTTGAAAGTACGTTTTTATTGATTTTAGAGTGAGAAGAAGGGAGAAGAAGAGATACATCAATGCGGTTACCTTTCAGTACATGGGATGGCATGGTGTTCAACAAAGTGAGCCACATTAGCCAGGGTTATAATTTAAAAATTTAAAAAAGGAAAATTACAATTGTTGCCAAGGATGTGGAGAAATTGGAATCCTCATATATTGCTGGTGGAAATAAAATGGTGTAGCCATTTTGGAAAACAATTTGGCAGTTCCTCCAAAATTTAAGCATATAGCCCGGCTTGCCGGCCAGCCGGCATGGCTTGGTAGTTGAGCATTGACCTATGAACCAGAAGGTCATGATTTGATTTCCGGTCAGGGCACATGCCCAGGTTGCGGGTTGGATCCCCAGTGTGGGACAGGATAGCTTAGTTGGTTAGAGCGTTGTCCTGATATGCCAGGTTGTGGATTTGATCCCGGGTCAGGGCACATATAAAAAGCAAGAAATAAATGGACTTTTTAAACTGTTACATTAAAATTCATTGGTCATTCTTGTTCTTTGAATGAGTCTTTTACCTAGAATGATTTGTAAAATAATGTGTTTCATTGGTTATTTGGAAAGGTTCACTGACTTACGCAGATCATCCAAATGTCAACACATTTCATTATACAGGCATACCTCGGAGATACTGCGATTTGTGTCCAGATCACCGCAATAAAGTGAGCCATGATATTTTTGCAGGTAGAGTTTTGCCTTGAATTTTCAAAAAAGGCAACCTCTGTAAAGCACAATAAAACAAGGCATAGTGAAACGAGATGTGCCTATATAATATCAAAATTATATTTGCCCGGCTGGCATGGCTCAGTGGTTGAGCATCCACCTATGAACCAGGAGGTCACAGTTCCATTCCTGGTCAGGGCACATGCCCAGGTTGTAGACTCTATCCCCAGTGTGGGATGTGCATGAGGCAGCCAATCAATGATTGTCTCTCATCATTGATGTTTCTATCTCTCCCTCTCACTTCCTCTCTAAAATCAATAAAAATATATTTTAAAAAGTCATTTAATATTACTACCAGTCTCATCAGAAAAATGTTTAAAGTACTTGGAACCTGCCAACCTCAGAGTGGTGGACAGAAGTTTTCCAAAGTGCAAATTTTTGCTTCAAATCCCAAAATTTATCATTGACAACAAGTACTATCAGTTGTCATTTGACCACAAATACTTGAGTTTATAAGCTCACTGTTCATTTTTGAGAAGATGTCATATTATCAAGTCTGAATAACAGCCATAGTTTGTGTCAACTGATCATTCGAATAAAATACTGTTCCATGAAAAGAGCAGCTAGTTCAGTTTTCAGCTTAATTGCACAAGTGCTTTTACTTCAGACAGCTCTGATATTTCTGTAGGCAGAAGTGCTTTATGCATGCTTCCCGCTTTATCACATAATATTAAAAAGACGTGATCAAGGGTTGAGATTTTAACAAATTATTACATTTTCATTGCTTTCTCAAGGATATTAAACTAGATTTTTTTTTTCTGTGTGGCAATAATGATTATTACAACTGCTAGTATGGTTAAGTGCAACTGGCTTGATTTATGCTAAGACACCAGCAATTTTGCTCACCATTGTTTTTGCACTAAAGATTACAAATGTTAGCACAGTGAAAAAGGCATGTAAATTTTAATATTATTATGAAAATGATGTTTGCCTTTGGAGACCCCTTGAAAGGGTCTTGAGAACCCCTGGGGGGTCATCTGCCTACACATGAGTACAAATGGCCTAACAGATTAGTAACTTTCACAGTGAGAATTTCAGGTCTTTGCAAGTTAGTGGAGAAGATATTTTGGTATATAACCTTGTACTAATTCTCAGACCACACCTCCTAGGTGATCACTTCCTCTCATGAGCACTGGGTCAGCACACACAATTGTTATTTAGTCATGTTTCTTTAGCTCAGTGGAAGTGTCATTTTTGCTCTACTGTCTATTGTCTCCAGAACTTTCCCTGGCTTATCTCTTGTTTTCTTACTTTCTAGAGGGGAAGATATAGAAAATAAGGAAGTCATCGTCCAGGAGCTGGAGGTAGGGAAAGAAGCTGACAACTTCTGGGAAAGTTCTTCTTTAAGCCGACAATGTGTCCATGTCCAAATTTTAATTATTTCTCACCAACTGAGTCACAACCTCCACTTGATTACTTGGCTTCTCCCTGCCACATTTCCTCTGCAAAGAAATTTTACTGTTTTTTCCTGGGTAATGAAAGCCTGTATCCTTTCTCAGTTTTCCTAGTTGAAGTGTCAGCACTTTTGAGGCTGAGAGTTTTGTTTCAACCAGAGTTCCCAGCCATGGGCAGCTCTTTTGTGGCAGCTGGCATAGAGAAAGCTTCCGGAGAAATGGAAGGACCGCCGCCGTCCAGGGCTCTGGGAAACCTCACCATCCCAACCACTGCCTGGTACTTGACGTCCAGGAAGTTCAATTGTAAATACAGAGACAAGGCTGCTGTGTCTTCATTTTAATTGGAAACATTTTCCATTGCTTTATTCCCACTTCATTTTCATTCCTTTTCTACCCAGCTCCTTTAGCTTTAGGTTTTCCCACAGGAAGACTAAGCAGGTGGACATTGTTATAAATTGGTAAAAGCACTGGGCAAGAGGTTAGAGTTCTGGGAACTGGTTCTGGATTCCAGTCCTGGCTGAGCCACTAATTAGCTGTGTGACCCTCAGCAAATCATTTATCTCTCTGTCTTGATTGCCTCATTGATAAACTAAGAATTTTAAAGTAATTTATTTTCTTCTAACTTCCCAACTCAGTGATTTATGACTATTGTGGTTTATGAAAACATATGTGCCACATTTCAAAGAATTCAAATATAATTAAATACACAAACACAATACTCAATGAAACAAAAAATTTGAGTCATAGCCTTAAAGATACTTGTGGCTCTTTGGCTAAGTGTTGGAAGTTACATTAGGATCTTGCAGGACCTCAGAGACATTGTTATAAATAGCAATATAGGACGATGGCAGTTTTTTGCTTATTTTAATTGTGAGTAGAGCAGAATTTATTTCACTTTGCTTCAGTTAACGGGGCAGAGAAGAACTCAAGGAAGCATAGTAAAGTGGAGAGAGCATAGACTTTAGAGCCAGTCAAACCTGGATTTGAATTCTAGTTCTGCCTCACAGCCTGATTTTGGGCAAGGGACCTACCTTCTCTGAATCTGTTTCCTTACCTGTCAATGAGGTTGATAAATAATGCTTATTTTCAAGATTGTGGCAAGGATTAGAAATAGATATGTGCAATGCCTGTCACATAGTAGCTCAATAAATGGTAGCTAGAGAGCATTTATGTCTATTTATAATCATACTAGAGGCCCAGTGCATGAATTTGTGCACAGGTGGGGTCCCTCTGGGTAGCCTGCAGGGATCAGGCTGAAACCAGCAGTCCAACGCCGCCTGCAGCTCCTACCTGCTGCTCCCGCTCATCCTGGCTCCACTGTGCCTGCCGTGGGCTCGCACCCAAGCAGTCCTGATTGGGAGAGGCTCGCGCTGCCACAGCAGCACTCACCAGCCATGAGCCCTGCATCTGGCGCCCTCCCAAAGGGAGTGGCCTGTAGGATCGGTCTGAAACTGGCTCTCCGACATTCCCCGAGGGGTCCCAGATTGCGAGAGGGCACAGGCCAGGCTGAGGGACCCACCAGTGCACGATTGGGCCTTGGAGGGACTGCGGGAGGGCTCCAGGATGTGTCTGGCCCATCTCGCTCAGTCCTGATCAGCTGGACCCCAGCAGCAAGCTAACCTACTGGTTGGAGCATCTACCCCCTGGTGGTCAGTGCACATCATAGCGAGCGGTTGAGCGGCCTTAGCATGTCATTAGCATATTACGCTTTGATTGGTTGTTCAGTTCTGCTGTTCGGTCTATTTGTATATTACCCTTTTATTATATAGGATTAGAATTTTCAAAGTACTTTTTATACGTTCTCTTTTGCTCTCACTTGTTTTGAGGCAGATGTTATCATTCTCTTTCATTCATTTAGGAAATATTTATTGATAGGCAGTGTAGCCTAATTGTTAAGAGTGTAAGCTCTGGAACCCCACTGCCTGGATTCATATCTTGGCTTCACCATTACTAGTTATGTAACCTTGTTATTCAGAAAGTCATTTTACCTCTTTTTGTCTGTTTCCTCATCTATAAAATGGGGATAATAGAAGCGTCTATCTCAGAGTTTTTGAGTATTAAATTAATTAAAAGCATATCATTTTTCAGGATTCTATTCGTGTGGTCCTAGGAAATTTGGACAGTCTGCAGCCATTTGCTACGGAACACTTTGTTGTATTTCCCTGTATCCTTTCATTTCTGGATGGGAATGAGCTACAATTCACATTGTAGATTCAAATTGAAGCAATAAACCCATAGACAGTTTAGAAGGTAGGTCACGGAAAGGAGAAAAAGTCATCCCTAAAATAGTACTCAGGGATTCGTATTGACTTTCCTCATTCCTTAGCACCATTTCCCAGATAAAAGCAAATGGGAGAGAGTGTCCCACTTGAAATTCAAACATGGCGAAATCGTGTTGATCCCCTATCCATTTGTTTTGACACTGTACGTAGAGCTGAAATGGTTTAATGAAAACCTGTCAACTGGTAAGTAGAATGATGGCAGTGTGGGTGGTGGAGAAGAAAAAGGGGAAGGTTGAACTTGCATGGTTAGTAGTGTAAGCTGAATATGGCAAAATGGTCAGTCAGATTGGGCCCCAATACATACCACCCAGTGTAGAAGTCAGGAGCATGTGCTCCCACCCAGACTGCCTAGTTCAAATCCTGGTGGCCTTGCCACTTAATCTGAGTGACCTTCGACAAATTTCCTTTTTTTTAAAATAAATCCTCACCCAAGGATATGTTTTTTAAAATTAATTTTTAGATAAATTTCTTAATCTTTCTGTGCCTCCTTTGTGAAATGGTGAATAATAATAACAGTACCTATCTCATTGAGTTGTTAAAACCATAAAATATATAAATATTGGAGGTTGGAAAGTAAGTACACAGTCTGACAGTAATCACTCAGTGAAGGAACCTATTATATGAATACTTTATTCCATTTTAGAGGTTTCAGTAACTTTCAACTTAGTAATATCTTAAAGTAGTATCTCCTAATTTTTAATCTGAGTCATTACTATTTTTACTTATAATGGGACAAGTAGACACCTGCAAGTTTGATTTGGAAAAGCATACAAAGGCCTTGCCTCAAAATATCTCCCCAGTTAATTTGTCACTGGTGCCTGAAGTTCCACCTTTTGTTTCAGAGTCGGGGCCCCTTTTTAAGTGGCATATTGTTAGAATATAGTGTGAATCAAACTCTGAATTTTCAGCTTATAAATTATAATAGTTCTAAAATAGGGGAGGAAGAGATTTTTGAAGACTGTATTTCTAGGATAGGTGGTACCAGGCAGAAGGGGAAAGAGAATACACGGAGGTTTGGTCTAGGCTAGGACCAGTTCTGAGAAGCAAATGGTAGCCAGAAATCCAGGTGAATCAGTGTCTTGACCCATTATAACATTTAAATTTCCTGTTACAGGGAAACCAATAGATGACAGTCCCCTTGGATTGGTAAGTTTGCCTTTTGTATAGAAAGTGAAAATTGCCTTTATTGTTTCATGTTGTTGAAAATCCAAAAAAATCCTGCTCTAGTCCAGCCGGTGTGGCTCAGTGGTTGAGCATCAACCTATGAACCAGAGATCATGGTTCCATTCCTGGTCACATGCCTGGGTAGTGGGCTTCGTACCCAGTGGGGGGCATACAGGAGGCAGCCGATCAATGATGTTCTCATCATTGATGTTTCTTTCTCTCTCTCCCTTTCCCTTGTTCTCTGAAATCAATAAAAATATATTTTTTGAATTGGTTCTTGGGGGAAAAAAAAATCCTGCTCTGGTCTCTTCCTGTTTTCCCTTGTTGCTGCCCAGGTCCAATTAGAATTGGATACGTGAGGTCATCTTTTCCCCCCCGTGGCTAACTTTCTAAGATTGTCCCTAACAGAATGTCTACCCTTACTTGCAAAGTTGACAAAGTTGCCTTTGGCAGCTTAAAGATGGGGACTTCATTGTGCCCTCATGAACTGTGAGCAACTCTGAAATAGGAGGAATCACAGGCCTCTGGTTCCTCTCTGAAGGTCCCTGCTGAGAGGAAGGCAGCAAGAGCCATGAAGAAGAAACGAAAGCGCATGGAATTGTCTGTCTCTCCCAGCAGACCAGGCCTGGACAGGTCAGTGGTGATGGGAGAGAGTCGAAATCCTGCATCCTGGTTAGGTCAGCTGTTGCTCTTGATTGTTCTTGACCTTACACGAGTCACTTTTTCTCTCAGGGCTTCATTGGTATCTGCCTGTTCCAGTGGGTGGACTAAGGCAGCGGATGCCAACCGGTGGTCCGTGAGGTCCGAAAGGTTGGCAACCTCTGGACTAAGGAAAGGAAGCAAATTAATATTTGCAGTGTAATTTGAACACAACCCCTTCCTCAGCAAAGTAGGATTCTTCTGTTCATTAAGACCAAGGCTGAGAGGAAATGCAATCAGATCTATACAGTTGTGTCCAATACATATTCAATGAGAACTTACTACCAGAAAACACAGTAAGAAGGCACAAGACTTAAAAAGTCCCAGGATATTATACAAGAACATAGAACAAATAAAATGTAATTCTATTTTACCTAGTGAGCAGTAAGCTTTTAGAAATCTACCTTAAAAGATAGTCCAGCCCTAGCTGGTTTGGTTCAGTGGATAGCACGTTGGCCTACAGACTGAAGGGTCCTGGGTTCAATTCCAGTCAAGGGCACATGCCTGGGTTGCAGGTTCAATCCCCAGTGTGGGGGCGCAGGAGGCAGCCGATCAATGAATTTCTCGCATCATTGATGTTTCTCTCTCCTCCCTCTCTGAAATCAATAAAAATACATTAAAAAAAAAAAAGGATAGTCCAGTCTAGCCTGGCCAGTGTGGCTCAGTGGTTGAGTGTCAACCTATGAACTAGGAGGTCACAGTTTGATTCCTGGTCAGGGCACATGCCCAGGTAGTGGGCTCAATCGCCAGTAGGGGGCATGCAGGGGACAACCAATCAGTGATTCTCATCATTGATCTTTCTATCTGTTCCACTCCCTCTCTGAAATCAATAAAAATACATTTTTAAAAAACATATTTTCAGAAAATTTCTATAAAAAAAAAAAGATAGTCCAGTCTAAAATATCAATGTCTATAAGAGGGTACCGGTTGTTGGGTGAGGTGCTGCGATATGTGATATTAGGTGGAATATTGAGCACATTGCTAACATGTTGAAGTTGCTGTTGAGGAGGCTACTTATTTTATTTTTTTGATTCTCTGTCAGGGACAAAATGAGTCAGTAAAACAATTCAGTCATTCTTATTGGCACCCAGAGAAAGCTGCTGGAATAATCTTAGGTGTGGTTTGCTCCGCAGCACGAAGTGCTTTCAACCCAGGTTCACAGAGAGCAGCAGCTTTTTTCCTGGGACGGTGGGGGCCCCAAGACTTACAGGAACAGTGAAGGTAGACCACGAGGGAGCTGACTTCTACACCTCCTAGTGCACAGGCGGAGAAGAATGGGAAACTCCTTTCCCAGCCAGGTGGAATGTGAGGGGACTTGGAGGTGTGAAGCTTTGTGTCTATCCATTTGACTGAATTTTCTGTGGAACTGAAGCTTCATATCTTCCCTTTCTCTGGGTTTTGATGCACGATCAGGTATTTCAAAGTCTGATACCTGCTGTCAGTCCATTTACCTTTTCTCAACCACTAGAGCCCTACATGTCTCAAATTGGGATTCTACTGTGAGTTAAAGCAGCACCCAAAGAGAAGTTGGCCACACAATTTATTCTGCAGGCCAAGAGTGGTATAAAAATAGCCAACCTGCTGAAATATTCATTTGAGCCACGTTTGCTTGAATGTGATGATGTTGCTGCTGCCAGTAACATTTCCTGGGCTTTTTCCCCACCTCAGGGCCAAGATGAGGACTTCTAGCCAAGGTCCCAGCAAAAAGAAGTTCCTCATGGAAACCAGCAGGGTAAGCACTACAATGGAGGCTTCCAAGCTCTTGACTGTTCCTGCTCTGTTACAATCAAGTCAGGATTCCTGTTACGAGCACATCTCGGTCCTTAATACAGACTGAGTGGACCAAACTCATTCTCAGGTTTCACCATCTGCGGAACAACATTCAACCATTCTATCCTTGCCACAGCCTGTCTCAAAAGTGGCTGCATAACAGTGTACACATTGGTGAATCCTTCTCTTCTCAGCTGAAAAAGCTGCTTCTTATACTTACAGCTGAAATAAGAAAAGAGGTCTGTTGAACTGAGGTAGGATCCGATAAAGAATTTTCTCTTTAGAAACCTTTTTGCCTTCTACATTGGGGCCTGAGTCTAGGAACATCTAGTTTTTACAGACAAGCTAGGCATAAGCACAGGACACCAGTAAGAGAAAACTTAATTAGATTAGTGATGGGTTGGCCCCGATAGTATTTCATTTCATTTGTGATGTCTGTTCCCCACTTAGGTATTCATAATTCTGCTATGCCTCCATTTCAGGGCTTTTCTGTAGTAGTCTCTAAAATAGTACCCTTTTTCTTTTCCTTTTCTTTCAAAATAGCTGTTATTTAATGGCTTTTTCTTCTCTCTCTCCAAAGTAGCTCTGACCTTAAATATCCAAACACTCTTAACTCATCGCCCTTACCTTCCCAGGACTCCATGATATGATCAGTTAATCAGCAAACATTTATGCATCCATTCAGCAAACTTTTAGTTAGTCTACTATGTGCCAGGTACTAAGGATATCACAATCTCACCTAAAAAGGCCAACAGTGTAAGCTAGGCAGACCATTACTGATAGATACGCTATGTGCAGGAATAAAGGCACCACAAAGGATAACCTCACCCAGATTAGGTGGATGTGAAGGAGGGTTCCTAGAGTAGCTCAAAGAATTAAGGCCAAGAGGAGAGAGTACAGTGTATTTGGTGACTCCAAGCCAGTGCCCCTGGAGCTTGGAGCAAGTGTGGTGCTGGGAGTTGTTACTGGAGAGTCAGCACTGGCTGGATCATGAAAGGCCTTAAGGCTGCCTTCAAGATGACAGGAATTCCCTAAAGCATTTTTAAGTAGAAAAGTAAAATGATTTTCATTCCTAAATGATTCTCTCTCTCCTGTTTGCAAGGCATTGTGTGAGATGTGGGGGCGCACCAAAACATGTAAAATTTGGTTTCTTTTAGGAGTTTATCATATAGTTGGAGGAAGAATGTACCCTTTGGGACTCAGACCTCTACCTGTGTGGGCAGGTGTGAGCTACAGGGCCTCCTTGTGCCATGGCCAACTGGTCCCGCAGTGATTTTAGGTAGATGGTTGCCCTCTTCTCTCCTCCCATCCTTTAGAGAGGGAAGAAGAATTGAAAAAGTACAATAGGAGTACATGAAGCTTTGGCGAACAAAGATGCTTTATACAACCAAGATAATTACTGTTTAAGGAACATTCCCTTCACCGTCTCCCTTCTACCTTCCTATTCTTAGTTTGACAAATCATCTCCTTCAAGAACAGTACTCACAGTTTCTTATTCAACATAATTACCGTTTCAACCTGATACTGAGTTTAGAAAAAAACTCTGAGCAAGAAAGAAACCCAAAAGGAACATGTTTATTGACTTTGACTCAAAGCCCAAAGACAGTCTCCATTGTAGACCCTGTTCCCAGAGAGAGGATTTCTCCTAAATTAAAGTGATCACAGTGACTCTCAGTGTAAGTCACTTGAGCTGTAAAAAATTGAATTTGCTCCTATGGTCCAATGCTTAATATTTTCTCTCCCCTTTGGGGGAAGTTAGGGTGTAAGATCACAGTGTGGATTATACACGTCTGAACACATTGAGAGCCTATGTGGGGAAAGCTTAAAAGAATACAACACATCTGAATAAGGTCTCTGTTCCATAAATGGGGAGAAGGGGAGAAGGGCAGACTCATTCATTCCTTTTGTTACCCCAGTTCCAAGACTTAGAGATCCAGAGGTTGGAAGATGGGGGAGATATGCTGTATACCTAAAACTAATACAAAATAATATTGAATGTAAACTGTAATAAAAAAAATATTTTTAATTAAAAAAATAAATGGGGGAGAACAGAAGTATGATGCAGAGGTAAAACACATTGCCGTGTGTGTTGGTTGTTTTGTTTTGTTTTTGCCATCTCTGCTTGAATTGCACTTCTAAGCAGATCTGGCCCTGAACATACGAAGCAACCTTGTGTTTGGTTTTCAGAGTATTGTGTCCCATTGGATGTCCCAGATGATACCCTCAGGCTTATTTCGGGCCATAATGTTTTTCCCTCTCTTGACATTTGCCTAAGAAGACCTCTCTCAAGATTTCAAGAGAACAAAAGCTCAATTATCTTGTGAGGGGAAGTTCCCCTGGTTCAGAAGTAGGCTTTACCTCTGCCCTAGGGCCTTTGCCCTTCTGGTTCCCACTACCAACCTTACTAGATGTTTTCATTAGGGTCAGTGCATCAGGATTGAAGCCCCAAACCACAGTTTCATTAAAATTGTAAGAATCATCCGTTCAAGCTAGAAATCAGAGCTGGGCCCTCTGAATTCCATATCAACCCTGTCTAGAAGAGGTAAGAGATGTCTTTTTCCTTCCCAGACTTTCCTTTCATTTTTATAGGAATACTAGAGGCTCAGTGCATGAATTCACTGGGGTCTCTTGGCCTGGCCAGCAATAGAGGCCTATGGTGGCTGGTGGCAGGGGGCACAGGAGGTTGGCTGTGGGAGTGCCCTGACCACCAGGGGGCAGCTCCTGCATTGAGTGTCTTCCCCCTGGTGGTCAGTGCAGCTCATAGCGGCTGGTCAACTGGTCATTGGGTCCTGACGGTTGCTTAGGCTTTTATATATATAGATGACTTAAGTGGCTGTCTATGTAGCCTGGAATTTGATGGTTTGTGGAAAAGCTCATATCAGAAATATCAGCTTATGCTTAGGATGGGGGCTATATTCTAACTTCCCTAGTCGCTTGCCATGCTTCTGCCTCCCAGACCTACTTGGATAGCATGCAGCCCTTCCTGTAGAATTCTTCACTAGCACTGCTTGGTAGTCAGGCCCTCAAGTTCCATAAAAGGTGTTTGGGGGAAAATGGGAAGGAAGGGCAAACCCATTCATTCCCTTTGTTACCCCTGGTGAGGGGAGTGGTCAGTTGGTAGAGATTCCCAAAGAAAACATGATCCAAGTTTCTGGCGCTCAGGTTGTCTCCTGGAAATGTGGGTTTGGAACTAGGTTGTAGGATGTCAAAAGGAAGGTCTATAAAGGGAAAGCACAAGGAGAAATCCTGAGATTGTGCTGTAGTGTGCTGATTGCTTATGCTGTGGTTATGTTTCCCCTGCCCAGCTCTAGCCATGCTGATCATATTTACTAGTACTCAATAATGGCACTGTGCCTTTGTATATCACATCCATTCTGGAACGGCCTGCTCTCTCTGACCACCTCCTAACCCCCATTTACCCCCATTATGACAAAATCCCACTCATCCATCAAGGCTCCATTCAAGTAGCACTTCCCTGTGAGGTCTTCCTTGACTAGCTGCCACCTGCTCTATTCATGTCCTCCTCCTCAACCACAGCACTCCATGTAGACTCATGGGGTAGTCTTATCACACCGCCTTATAAGACTTAGTCTATGTGTCAGTTTACCACATAGATTACACTTTTCTCCACAGTAAAGTTAAGGTCCTCCAGATTTCTGAAACCTTGGTATTCTGCCATTATTAATAGTTGGCACTCAGTAATACAGAATAATAAATTAAACCCAGCTCGGTTTATTCTCAGCTCTTAAATCTTGTTATTTTAGAAGGACAGTAGTTAGGAAGCTGAAATGGGGAAAGGACATCATACCGAAGGAAATATAGAACCTGCCTGAGCAGTCAGAAGCCAGGCCCCCAGCACTGATGTGAAATCAATTCACCAACAAATAGCATTCAGACCCCAAGCTGTATAAGAGTAAAGTTTAAAACTTTTTTTGGTCCTCTTTTTATCAGAACATGGAAAGAAACACCCAGCAGAAATGTCAGGAGACTCCAGCATTTGATGGCACTGATGTCCAGGAACAGGGTAGGTTCTGGGAAGTGCATTTATTCTCCTTTAATACTCGTCCTGTCCCCTTTAGTTTTCTGATGAGCAGAGCAGCACAGAGCTCTGAGTCTGGGCACGCTCAGTGGGGGTGTGTCTTGCTTCCATGGAGGTGCCTGTTGGCCACCCTCCAGTCTAGGGGCTTGCCCTTGAGTAACAGAAGCCACCCCTCACCCAGCTCCCTAGAGAAGTGAAGGGAGGCAATGCATGTCCTTCCCCTGCTTTTGGTAGTGAAACTGATGCTCCCAATGTTTCACATTTCCATGCGGGGTGATAAGTTTTACAAAAAAGTTGGAAAGGATGTATGACTTTTTTGTCTTACTGGAGAACGACCTCTGGGAAGCTGTCGCTTCTCTTCTCTTCGGGGCATTAGTGTTAATATTTTTTTAAAATATATTTTATTGATTTTTTACAGAGAGGAAGGGAGAGAGATAGAGAGTTAGAAACATCGACGAGAGAGAAACATCGATCAGTTGCCTCCTGCACACTCCCTACTGGGGATGTGCCCGCAACCAAGGTACATTCCCTTGACCGGGGTCGAACCTGGGACCCTTGAGTCCGCAGGCCGATGCTCTATCCACTGAGCCAAACCGGTTAGGGCTAGTGTTAATATTGAAGGTGCAGCGGATGCTCAGCAAGGCTGGGGATGCATGTTGACGTGTTTCCCTTCTAACTTGCTGGTCTTTTGCCCAGCATGGGGACTCGGTATGGGCTGCAGTTAGCACAGATACAGGAATGTAAGCAAGCGAGTTCTTCAGCAAGTTGTCATTCCATGTGAAGACACCAGCCATGGTAGGTGGCTGCGACTTAAATAGTGTAAAAATCTCAGAGGCCTGACTTTGAAAATAACTCCAAGGTCAGAATAGCATCTTACTGGGCTGAGATGAACTTGGGAAAGTTAACAAATAATTCACCTGGCTTTAAGAAATCCTGGTGTGAGGCTGCCCTTGGCTCATGCTGAGGGTGTCCTGCCTTCTGCTCATATGAAAGTAGCCTCCGGACTAACACTTTCCCTGCCTGAGTGTTTTCCTTGCAGGTTCTAGGTGGGAGGACAACCTAGCGGGGGAGATTACCCCACCAGTGCAGCAAAGCAATCCGCCTCCACCTGCAGGACCCACAGACCTGGGGACCAGTGGCTTCTTTGGGTTTTTGAGGTAAGACAGACTTCTCTCCTGCCATCAAACTGAGACCCGGGGTGAAGTAGCTCCAGAGTCTGTCTCATTGGGTCTCTCAGGGAAAATAGAGTAGGAAATACAGCAGATTACCTGCAGAATCTGTTGGTCCAGGATAGATGATGAAAATGAGATTGAGCACAAGGCCACTAATTGTGAATTTAATACAAACGGCATCCTGTTCATGTTTACACACCCCACCCGATGTGCCTGCATTGGGCCTGGTTCCATAAATCCTGCTTCTCACTGTACTTGGCTCTTTTAGATGATTTGGTTACCAAAACGCTTCCATTCTCCCCTCTGAATCTAGGCTGTGTCTTCAGCGTCCTTTTTGCAGAGGAGTTAGCAAATCCCTTTGTCTATCTAGAACTCAGCCATCCCACTGCAATTCTTTATTTCCCCTGCCTAAGTATAATCTAATTTGGGTATCTTTTCAAATGCTGTTCCAGACTTGAATTTTCACTCTGTGGTTCCCCAGAGCAAAAATGCCCTCGCTAAGGGAGCCCTGATGCGACCTGGGAGAAGAGAAGGGACCGCTGGAGTCTCAAGCTGTTCTGCTTTCTTCCTTGCAGCTCTCTCTTCCCGTTCCGGTATTTCTTCAGAAAGAGCAGCCAGTGAGCCTTCCAGTACAGCCGTGGGAAGTGTCCTCTGCTTATGACACTCAAGTCATGGGGAATGAGAGCCCCAAACTCCCTGAGTCCTCTTGCTGGTTTGTCCTGTTTCACCTCTTTCCAATAAAAGTTTTTTCAATTTAAGACTAAGAAAAGAATAGAACTTTCTAAAATGCTGTAGTCTGAGAATTGTACTGCTCTGAGGTTGAGTTTAGATCTTTCATCTCCAGCACTTAGGATCCTTATGGCAATAAATTATTTATGAACAGTTATTGACTGAGTTGAGTGAAGTAGAGTGTGAGAGAGAGCAAACTCTTTCCTCAAGATACAGAGAAGCAATTCCTGAAACCTCCCCGGGTCTGCCTGGTTCTTATTGACAGGATGCTTTGAGTGGGTGCGGTCTGTACCTCACTGCAAACTTTAAGTCCCCTGCCAGCGGTTAGGGTCTTGCCAGACTCACTGTCGGGACAGACAGATTAGATTTCTGTTGTATGGCCAGAGAGGATCAAAGTAATTGTGGGAATTTAGGGAAACTCATTTTAGCTGAGGACAAAGGAATAATTTTTTAACTGTTAGTGATGTTTAGTATTAGAATGGACCGCCTTGGGAAGTAATGAGCCCTTGTCACCTCTAGTCTTTAGACAGCTGTTTTATCTGTCAGGTGCTGGGAGGTTCCCAGGATGAGTGGGAACCTTGGGGCTGGACTGCTTGGATCCCGTGGAGACTCCTTGTTTTGCTGCCTTCAGCTGGGGTGGGGAGAAGAGAAGAGGTGGGCTGCTGCGAAAGGGCCTGGGACCTGAAGGGGAAGCCGGTGGGTGTCAGGACTGGAGGACTAGGGACAAGTTGCATTTACAGCCTTTGCCCTATCGTCCCAAGCTCAGCCTGCTTCACAAAGCTGCTGAGAGGCACAGTCCGGAATCTGGAGACCTGAGTGCGTCCGACTGACTAGCTTACAGTGAAGCCTTGGCTGAGTCGCTTTCTCTCTGGTTATTTTCTCATCTGAAAAATGAAGGGGTAGGATTTGATGAGCTCTCAAGTGCCTTCCAGCTCTGGCGGTCCCTGCAGCTGGCTCTGCTTTCTGAGCAGGACCCTGAGGCAGTGGCCCTGGGGGTGGGGGGCCAATCACCTGATTTCCACCCCACTCAAGCCCCTGCAGCTACTGGTGGCCAGGGGGTCTTTTTCCAACTTGCCACATTCTTGTCCTGAGTGTAATTTAGCACCATGCATGGACAGCAGATTTGGGTTCCCAGTCAGTCCTGACATGAACAGCTGTGTGACCTTCAGTAACACTCCTCTGATCTGTAGTTGCCTCACCTGTAAAACCAGAGCCAGAGCTGGACTGAATGATGGGATTTGCTGGGGTCAACAGCTTCAGGGCTCTTCCTGGCGCCAGATCTCTTGGCCCGGTGACCAGGAGAAGCCCACTCTGGAGCTGACCCCCAGGGTGAGAAGCCTGTCACTTGACAGTGGGAGCGAAGCTCTGACATTGACCTAGAACTCCCTCTCCCCCGGCTCTGCCTCCAAGCACATCTCAGCAGACCGCCCTGGTGTAATTTCTTTTTTTGAAGATATTACAGGAAAGGCGAGTGGCAGCTGCCTTAAGTTTTGATTTTGACCTAAGCTGTCAGTCTCTCCAGGTTGTTCTCCCACGCAGCTGGAGAACCCATGGCTACAACCAGCCACAGCCCTTGGAAACATGCTGTCATTTCCCCTGTCCTTAAGAATCTCCTCCCCCTACAGCCCCCCTCAAAAAAAAAAGAATCTCCCAGACTCTTTCCTCTGTGGTGGATTAAGGAGACAGGCAGGGCTGAGTTTACTAGGGTTATTTTTTTTTTAATAGATTTTTATTGATTTCAGAGAGGAAGGGAGAGGGAGAGAGATAGAAACATCAATGATGAGAGAGAATCATTGATCAGCTGCGTCCTGCACTCCCCCTACTGGGGATTGAGCCCACAACCCAGGCATGTGCCCTTGACCCGAATCAAACCCGGAACCTTCCAGTCCGCAGGCCGATGCTCTATCCACTGAGCCAAACTGGCTAGTAGTAGGGTTTTTTAAAAATATGTTTTTATATTTAGGGAGAGGAATAGAGAAATAGAATCTTCATTGAGAAACATCATCAATCGGTTGTCTCTTGTACACATGTTTTTATATTTAGGGAGAGGAATAGAGAAATAGAAACTTCATTGAGAAACATCATCCCCTACTGGGGATCCAGTCCACAACCCGGCATGTGCCCTAACCGGGAATTGAACCAGTAACCTCTTGGTTCATAGGTCGCCACTCAACCATTGCGCCATGCTGGCCAGGCATTAGTAGTTTTAAGGTTGGGGTGGTGAGGCCCTCAGTATGAGTGTTCTGCCCAAGGCCACACAGCAAAGAGAACCCAGATGGCAACAACTCAGCCCCGTCTTGGGCCCTCTCTCCAGCTGCACACAGCCGCCCACTCCACCAGCTAGCTCCTGGGCTTCTCTCCACACCTCACTTCCCCAGCCCTGGGCCTCGGGCAGCTTTTGGGCAGAAGGGAGCAGAAAGCAGCAGATGCCACTCCCCCCAACCACGCCTCAGACAAGAGCTGGATCTCCCAGGTGGGATCGCTGAGGCCTGAGGCCTGAGGCTGGGCGGCAGGCCTGAAAGCCGATCTCCAAGAAGGCGTGGCTCCCTAATGCCGGCAAATAAAAATCCGGAGAACCAGCAAGTCTGAAGACCAGCAGCAGGCTGCTCAAGGAGCCACTCAGCAAGCCACTCAGTTCCTGGGCCTTGGAAGTGGTAAGCCCCTGAGGCAGGAGCCCTGAGGGACCTGGGGACTGCAGATGGGGTCCTAGAGGCCAAGATGGGGCAGATGGCGGGAGGCAGATGTCCGTGCTCCAGATGGTGGGAGAAAGGCAGGGGAAACCACCGCAGTGGGCTGACAAGTCACATCTAGAGAGAGACTGCTGCTCACACTGATTCCCACCCAGAGAGACTCACAGGCAGACGCACCCGAAGGCAGGGACAGGGAAAAGTCAGCCCCACAGGCTTGCCGCACCCCAGTCAGATAGGCTAACGGAGCCCCGGCTCATCCACCTGGAAGCACGCTGCATTTAAAGAACTTCCCCTCCCCCCTGCACACGATCTAGAGAATGTCCACCCACTGTTTCAGATGCCCATGGCGTCCCCCCAAACCCTGCTCTTCTGCCTGCTGTTCCTGGTGATCACTGAAGGCCGGGGTCAGCAGGCGGCCACCCCAGGCTGCCACCTGCACCGTGAGTCACCCTGGGAGCAGAGGGCTGGGTGGGAGCAAAGAGCCGATGGGCTGGACAGAGGGGCAGGCAGCACCCTCGATGGACCATCGGAGGAAACAGGCAGCGGGAGCTGGGCGAGCCTTCGCAGAGGCACCGTCTACAACTCGCCTGTCTCCTCCTAGCCTTCAATGTGACGGTGCGCAGCGACCGCCAAGGCACCTGCCAGGGCTCCCATGTGGCACAGGCTTGCGTGGGCCACTGCGAGTCCAGCGCCTTCCCTTCCCGGTACTCAGTGCTGGTGGCCAGTGGCTACCGACACAACGTCACCTCCATCTCTCAATGCTGTACCATCACTGGCCTGAGGAAGGTGAGGGGGCCCATTGGGAGAGACAGAGGAGACGGGGATCTAAAATGGCTCAAGGAAGGGGACTGGAACCGAATCCCCTCTCCCACAGGTGAAGGTGCAGCTGCACTGTGGGGGGGGCCGGAGGGAGGAGCTGGAGATCTTCACGGCCAGAGCCTGCCAGTGTGACATGTGTCGCCTCTCACGCTACTAGCCCACCCTGTCCCCACCTCCCTCCCCTTGGTCAGAGGGGCGAGGTGGAGTACATCCCGTATATCCTGAGCGTCACTGAGGACAGCGGCTTCAACCCCCTGAAAAGAAGGGAGTCTCTGCTTCTTCCCTGCCTCTGCCACCGCCTGACCAGTGTTTCATCATTTCACTTCCCTCTTTGGCCCCATCCCTTAATAAAGCAAGCAGTCCTCGAGTTTCTGTCTTTATTAAGTCTACCCCCAGCCAGGGGAAGGGGGACAGACCATGGTAACTGTGACCCCACCTTGCCCCAGGACATGGGGAATCTCTTCTGCCTGTGCCCTCACCCCTCCCCCTGCCCAATAAATAAAAAGGGGACAAGAAAGTACAGAGGGAGGTAGGGGAGGGGAGGAGGATGCCCAGGCCCAGGTCAGCATCTGTTGGGGGTGAGCAGGGGAGAATAAATAGACCATGGATCCATGGTGGGGTGCAGGAAGACCTCGCGCTGGCACGAGGTGGGGTACACGAGGAGCCGAGTCCTGTTGCCCTAGGCTGGGAGCAGGGTGTGGGAACCTGCCTGCAGTCTGGAGCCCAGCTTTTTGGGGCAGGGAGATCCCTGATGGCAGCTTCCTGGTCAAGCTTGCCCTGGTCAAGTCCTGCCATAAGGACCTGAGAGTTCTGTTGCCAGGACCACCATCTCCTCTCCTCTCCTCCCCACAGTAAAGGGCCCACGCTGGGCCAGGCAGGGAGCCCTCCAACCCACTCTGCAAGGCCAGGGGGAGGTGTGTGTCTCTCTGGGCCCCTGGGCAGGAGAGGGCATAGAGGGACTGATAGCTCTGGGTTTAGTTCCTCCCTTTCTACGGGATCTCTAGCTCTGACCCCCACTGGCGGCCACCTGGGGTGTAAGGCGCTGGAGGGGGGCCTCTTTTGTCCCCTGGGTCCCCTGTAACCGGCGTAGCCGTAGCTCCTCCAGGCCTTGCCACAGCTCCTGCCGCTCCTGGGCCTTCTGTTGCTCCCTGCGGGGAGAGGGTTAGGCAGCTCCCCCAGCTGAGGCCCTGCCTGCAGCCCAGCTTCCCTCACCACCACCTCGTCTGCGAAGGATCTAGGGGAGCCTTCCACTCCGGGAAGAGACCACTGAGGAGGCTGGTCACGAGCAGGTGGCTTGGCCTGGCTCGAGAGACCCGGCTAGAGAGGAGGAAACTCCAGGGCGTCCAAGCTCCGCACCTGGGGAAGCCCTTGGGAGGATGACGA